TGTACTTTGGGAAAGTAACTCTCACCCAAGGCTTCAGAAGACAACAAAATGGGTTAAGTCCAGGGCCAAACTATAAACCAAATACAAAAGTTCAAAAGGACAAATACTAATTGTCACTAAATTAAAATAGGCAAGAAGCAGAAAAAGCAAGAGTGAGCATAAAGACAGAAAAGCAAGAAGCAGGGTGTGACATGTCAATAAGGAAGGATTTGAGGCATGATCTAGGACAGATATTGTTTTCTGCCCTTAATTTCTAAGAACCATGCAGGATATAGGCAAGCCATCCAAGCTTAAAAGGTCAGAAGGGGGGAAGGTGAACTGAAGAAATGGAAATAGAAAGGAATAAGATACAATTATTTTCCTCAAGCATTTACGGCACAGTGCAGAAGTGAGATGCATTCACTGGCGATAAAATTACAAGTAGAATATGGAAAGAGCCTTGCTAGAGAAATGAAAGCCTGAGGAAATATGTGAGAAAAAGAAACTGATTTTTATTCAGGGAATCTTGGAAGGCTTCATGGAGACACAAGCATTTGAACTGAATGTTCATAGGATTTCAAAAGGCAGAGAAGGTGGAGAGGAAACATCTTGAGTGGAGGGAAAGCAAGTTCAAAGACAAGAAAGGTAAGACTATGCCGAACACTGTTGGAGTTTATTCTTAATATAGAGAGAGCAAATAGTTCAAGGCAGGTCAGCAGATCCAGGAGGAAGCTAGAAGGACCAGCTGATACCAGCGTGGGTTTTACTGGCTGCAAAGCGTGACCTGCATGATAGATGTGGTAGGGAATACAGGAGGGGAAGACAGGAGGAGAAATATCGGCAAGGAGGACATGTCAGGGAGAGGTCATGCTGTTCTTGACTGGGAGTGTTAAGTGGGCTGCAGAAGTGAGCCATTCTACAGTCAAAGTTTGCATCTGGTGGAAGGCAGGTCAAAGGGAAAAAAGTCAAAGATGGCTTTGGGACTTCCAACTAATACAACTGGGAGATGGTGATGCTTTTAAAAGAATATTAGTACTAGTACATTTCAGGGCGGTTTAAAATATTATTTTTCCTTTTTTCCAAATGATTCATTTCAAAGATATGCATTTCTGCTTATTTTAGAAATCACTTACATATGAGATTATTTATATCTTTAAAATGTTTCCCAGATTATTCTGACATATCTAGTCTTAAGTCGGATTCCTTAGATGCAGGGCCTCAGACAGGAACTTCAGGCCCATTACACATAAAGTTTTGAGAGTGCAATTGGGAGATCTAAAGGGAGGGAGGGAAGCAGATGGGAGAAGGGAACTAGCTAACCAAGACTGGGCTCCTCTGAAGTCTAGGCTAAGCCTGTTCCCATGGGGATCCATGGAGCATGAATTGCACCAGAGGTGGGCCCATTTAAGGTAAAGGGATCAGCATTCAGTACTCCGGGCTCTATGTTGCCCTGAGGCCAAGTGAGAGATGAGCTTAGCCTCCTGGGTATGGAGGCTCCCATTAGCTTAGAAGAATTCTCTACAGAAGGGAGCAGTTGTGACCTTTTCACTGCCAACATTCATAGCAGCCAAGTATGGACATACTGTCCTGGTACAGGGGATCTGGGTAAGGCACCAACAGTGCTCACCATATATGGTTTTTGATGTTAATCTTAGATAACTGTATCTTAGGGTATTTCAAAGAATGAATATTTAGGTGACTTGTCAAGTTTTTAATTCTCCTTTGTTTTCTCCTCCGTGGATGAACTGAAAGAGACATTGCTCAACTCCCATCTCTAACAGGATCACTAGAGGGGGCATCTTGGAAAAAGATCTTAGAGATAGCAGGAAGGCTTCCACGAGCAGTGTGAGCTCTCTGTAACATCTTCCATTTGTAACCCCAGATTTTCTTTATCCCACAGAGCACCATGGTGAATATATATTCTTGTGTGAATTTGTGACTCACAATCTTCTTTGCCTGGTAACATTTTGCTAAACCATCTATCAATCTCAAATTACAGGAAACACCTGAGTGCAGACACAGAATGAGCACTGAATAAGAATGGTCAGGCTTTGGGACTGAAATTCTGAACCAACGAAGGCCATTTCTAAGGGAAAGGACTTACGAGATAAGCTGTGTGGCTGATAAGCAACTTTCAGTAAGGGTTGACGTCATAGTTTAGTTGCTTACAACAAAGAATTAATGAAGGCAGTAGTTCTGAAGTTGACCACTTCATGAGTTTGTGAGTTTCTGTCACAAGGCCAAAGAAATAGTCTGTCCAGGGTTGTTTGTTATACTAGAAGGAAAAGAAACCTCAAAAGAAAAAAGAAAGTATATGTGTGTGCACACACATGCATGCACACACACAGACACACACACACACAGACACACACACACAGTTATGCCAGAAGGACCAAGGACATGGAAGCTACGTTGAAGGAGCTCTTACCAGCCACGTAGAGGACAATATGGGCACCAAAGTATTTAAGGATGATAAGTCATGACTCTGTACCAAAAATAGCTAGACAAATCAATAAATAAACAGGAGAGAAGGAGGGTTCTTGCTTAAATAAAATGCTGATTGGTGACATCAGTAGATACAGCTGATGAGCTAGAGTTGAAAAAAATCATTATTTTTCAATCATTATAGCAAATATTGGATCAGGCAAGGATCATGAAAGGATGCTAAATTAATGAAAAAAATTTGATAAGAAGGCAGATAGTTGCAAGACCTTAGGTATCTTTGACAGGCTGTTTTATTAATTGAAAAGGAAACATCCTAACCATACTGTGCAGAAATTGAATAACCTTTTGATGGGTAATAACTTGGACAACACTGACTGTATGATCAAAATCTATGTCACTAATGAGGGCAGTTGGACACTGTATGCCTCTGAATGTGATATCTTGACAAAGGCATTGTATCCCCCATGCAATATTTTAGATGAGAATGTACAATCTCAATCTAGTACTGAGGAACTCTAAGAAATCCCCAAATGAGGCATATTTCATTAAAAACTAAGGGTTCGATTTTAAAATGTTGTTATAACTGAAAACAAAGGCTGAAGAATAGTTCCAGATTAAGGTAAACTAAAGAGACATGCCAATTAAATGAAATACATAATCCTAGACTGAATCATATACTGGAAGGAAATCATCCTATAAAAGTCCTAAAATCTACAAGTGACTAGGGTTATTTGAGAAAACATTCTTTTCCTTAGGAAATACATACTTAAGAATCCGAAAGTAAAGAGCCATGAGGTATGCAACCCACTCCATAATGGTTTACAAAAGTTACATTTATGTATACGTGTTTATAAACAAACAGAATGCTAGCAATAGATAAATCTGGGTGTTCATTATGCTCTTTCCACAGCTTTTTAAATATATTTTCATATCAAAAGTTATTTACACCCATGGAAAAAATGCCCAGGACCAGATGACTTCACTGGTGAATTCTACCAAACACTTAAAGATGAATTAATGCCAATTATTCTCAAATTCTTCAAAAAATTGAAAAAAAGGGAATACTTTCAAATTCATTTCATGAGGCCAACAGTTTCCTTTTACCAAATTCAGAAAAAAAAAAAAACACTCCATAATAAAAGAAAACTAAAGGCCATATCTCTGTTGAATATGGACACAAAGATTCTCACCAAAATACTAGCAAACCAAATCTAGTAGCACATTAAAAACATCACACACCACACCACAATGAGACTTATCCATGGAATGCAAGGATGTTTCAACAAATGGAAATCAATTAATGAGATACACCACATTACAGAATAAAGGATTAAAGACACATGATAATCTTAATAGATGTAGGGAAGCATTTAACAAAATATAACACAATTTCATGGTTAAAAACTCTCAACAAACTAGAAATAGAAGGAAAATGCCTTATCTTAATAATAACCAAAAATGAAAAGCCCACAATTCATGTCATCCTCAATGGTGAAAAATTCAAAGATCAGGAACAAGACAAGAATGCCCATGGTTATCACTTCTAGTCAGCAAAATACCCAAAATCCTACCCACAGCAATTTGGCAAAAAAAAAAAGATATCTAAATATAACAAGAAGTAAAGTTATATCTGTTCATAGAAGCCATTATCTTATACGTAAAAATCTCTACAGATCACACACACATACACACGCAGAGACACAGAGACACATACACCCCTATCAGAACTAATTTAAAAATTCAGTAAAGTCATAGCATACAAAAATCAACAGATTTTTAAATTATACCTTTCTTTAGGGTAATGGCCATGTTTATATTCATCTGAATTTCTTACAGGATACCCAGCAGACTGCTATGGGCCTCTGTGCCCTAAATTTTGGTTAGACAATAATGATTGTAATAACTATCTATGACTTACTGATATGTTAATGATAGTTCTCAACAGCTGTGACTTACTGAGAACTTACTAAGTTCCTGACCCCATTCTAAGTACTTATGGATATTAAAACATATATTCCTCACAATGATTTTATGAGGTAGTTTCTGTTACAAGCCCCATTTTCCAGGTAAGAAAACCGAGATGTGACAAGGTTAGATAACTTGCCAAGGTCAGAAAGTCAAGTGGCAGAGCCAAGACTAAAACTCAGACAGCTGGGCTCTTGAGCTTATTCTCTTAACCCTCACACTGTACTGCATATCTTTATACCATATGAGAATCTTGAGGTCTGAAAGGCAGCACAATTCGCCAGTGTGACAGAAAAGAGAATTTCTGCAAATATGGAAGACTGTCACTAGAAGTGTCAGTGCCAAAGGGTAGCCACCCCACCTAGTCATCCATCTGGGCCGTGTTCTTTCATTGCACAATGTCTTTCCAGCAAGAACAATCTGGTTTCTTCCAGTATTTTCCCTACTTCTTCCTCCAGATCAGCAATTACTCTTTTATGATCAGTTTGTCTTTGAGGTCTCCCTATCCCGGATGTCACACCGTGGAATCTAGTTATAAGATTTACACTGTGATAATTTTGTGTTAACAATTGCCTTACCCCCAAATCCCAGTGTTTTTCCTCAAATGCTGATTTTTCTTAATGTATGCTAAAAATTAGCTATGGTTTGGCTAATATTCACTGGGCTTACCTGGTTCAGGTGGGCTATGATGGATTCTTAGTTGCTGACCACAGTCAAGTCTGCTCCATGTGTTTTCATCATTTTGAGGCCAAATAAACCCTAAAGGTAGGTACTTCTTAAGGCAGAGAATAGAACAAAAGAGGACAAACTATAATCATAAGGCCCCTACACAGGATACATATGCTAATGCTCCATTGGCCAAAGGAAGCAACATGAGCCCAAAATGGACAGGATGAGGGTATGTACATACTCTGCCTGCTCTATTGTGACGGAAAATCATATGGTAAATGAGCACAGAAATATATATTTTAGCAGTGAGTGAAGAATTAAGAATGATAATCCCATCTACAGACTTCTCTAATGTTCCAGAGACAGCAATGCAATGGGGTCTCAGCACCATCGGGGGCAGGAACAGCACAATAATGGCATACCCCTTGGCTCCAATAGGGACTCAGCCCCAGCAGTCATTTGGAAGTGGATAGATGAGACTACATCATCAGGGATGGCCAAAGAGTATATTCACGTACACTCCACATGTCTCCACATTCATGTATACTCCACATTCATGTACTAATCAGTTCTACTCATGAGACTCCACATGTCTCAGAAAAGTCACATTACTCAGAAAAGTCAGAAAGTGGGGCACAATCAACCAACAAATAACTACTGAGACCCCAATCTGCAACGTCAACTTGGTGTTATTGAGTTCAATAGAGAAAAGGTGTATCAGGGCCATTTGAGATCTCTGGGAGGACATGACTGACATAATTCCAATATGTATTGCATAAACTAGCATGTGATTAAGTTCTCAGCCACATAGAGGAGCTCCTGGAGAAAAGGACAGCATTTTACAAAGTGATAATTTCACAACATAAAGCACCTTCACAGAAAGCTTTGGGGAGCTGAGAGCTTTGAAAAAGGACCTTGAGCGTCCTATAGATAGGAAGAACAGATAGAAAATGTTAGATATGCATTTCCAGAGAGGATAACTGCATGTGTCAAGAGAGATGGGGGACGATAATAGAGTAAGATATTACAGGATTGTCATTCAATAGAGTTTTAGAAACTTACATTCCAGGAGCAAGAGGGGATAAAGGAAAATAGCCTGGGCTGACAAATACCTTGGCTGCCCTGGTATGAAATTTCTGAAATGTCTTTTTGAGTTAAAGTTCATTATTTTTTACTGTATCAAAGCCATTTAGTTTCTGACTAAACTATGTGGAGGGAAAAAACTTTAAATGATTCAACATATGTCACATAGAACTACTGAGCCCTGCCGTTCTTTTTTAAAGACAATCCCCATGAGAGTTCTATTTTTGGTTCGAGCAGATTTTCATTTCAGCCAAAGCTAGCTCGGATGATACTTTTCCCTTCTTTTCTATTCAGCGTGGGAGCCAGTTGGGATTCTTTAAAAGGCCTGCTGTGTTGCTGAGTGTCCTAGAAGAATGCAGCATTGCAGTGGCTCCAGCTGAACCAATAAATCATGACCTGGAAACACCAGCCATTGTGCCCTCCTGTTTATCACAAACAAAAGGAAGTGCAGTTCTTTTTCTTTTGTGGCAAGGTAGCACCAAGGGATTATGATAAAAGGTGGCAGAATTAAAAGCTGAAAGCTAGATATTTTTCTAGTTTGAGTTACAACGTTAACTTGAGATTATAAATTTCATTACAGTCACTCCTAGTACTCACCCAAATCTGATTGCAGAAACTTAAGAAGACTGAACACCCCTGCCCCTTTGCTGTGGTGGAGACTTTTGCCTAGTTCTTGCCAGTGGATGGAAATGTGTACAACATCAAGCTAAGCCGTGAAAAGCCCACACACGTTTCTCCAGTTTTTCTTCCCTCCCTTGATTGAATAGGAGTCCACTTGTTTCCAGTGGTCCAGCTAATAGTTACAGCATCCTATTGATCTGGAATAACAAGTTGCTGTACAGAGGACCATTGCCTAGGGGGGTGGGGGTGGCCTTGACAACCAGTGAACATCACATAAGCAAAAGGTAGACATTTGCTATGTTCACACACTAAAATCTCAGGATAATTTGCTTTCACAGTTTAATCTACCTACCTTGACTAATAAATGCTAAGCAAGATTTACAAGGTCTTAAAATATAATAACCTTAATTCGTGCTACAATAATGACTAGACAAAGTAGAGCCTAAAAGAAAAACGTGCTTGAGTAGCATGCATTGATCCCATAAGTAAAGTGAACTTTACTCATAGGTGAATCCCAGATATGGTTTGGCTGTTTCCCCATCCAAATCTCATCTTGACTTACAATTCCCATAATCCCCATGTGTCACTGGAGGGACCCAGTGTCAGGTTATTGAATCATGGAGGCGGTTACCCTCAGGCTGTTCTCATGATAGTGAGTGAATTGTCATGAGATCTGATGGTTTTATAAGGGGATTTTGCCCCTTTGCTCAGCGCTTTTCCTTCTGCCACCATGTGAAGAAGGACATGTTTGCTTCCCTTTCCACCATTATTGCAAGTTTCCTGAGGCCTCCCCAGCCCTGTAGAACTGTGAGTAAATTAAACCTCTTTATACATTGCCTAGCTTTGGGCAGTGTGGGAATGGATTAATACAGTAAATTGGTACAGGGTAGTGAGGCATTGCTATAAAGATACCCAGAAATATGGAAGCAACTTTAGAACTAGGTAACAGGCAGAGGTTGGAACAGTTTGGAGTGCTCAGAAAAAGACAGAAAAATGTGGGAAAGTTTGGAACTTCCTAGAGACTTGTTGAATGGCTTTGACCAAAATGCTGATTGTGACATGAACAACCAAGTCCAGACTGAGATGGTCTCAGATGGAGATGAGGAACTTGTTGGGAACTGGAATAAAGGTGATTCTTGCTATGCTTACCAAGAGACTGGTGGCATTTTGCCCCTGCCCTAGAGATCTGTGGAACTTTCAAGTTGAGAGAGATGATTTAGGATATCTGGTTGAGGAAATTTCTAAGTGGCAAAATGTTCAAGAGGAAGCAGAGCATAAAAGTTTTTTAAAGTTTGTAGCCTGACAATGAGATAGAAAATAAAAAACACATTTTCTGAGGAGAAATTCAAGCCTACTGCGGAAATTTACATTGGTAACAAGAAGCCGAATGTTAGTCACCAAGGCAATGGAAAAAATGTCTCCAGGGCATGTCAGAGACCTTTGCAGCAGCCCCTCTCAAGTCCGTAGGCCTAGAAGGAAAAAAATGGTTTCCTGGGCCAACCCCAGGGCTTGCTGCTTTGTGAAGCCTTGGGAATTGGTGTACTCTGTATCCTAGCCATGGCTCAAAGGGGCCAATGTAGAGCTCAAGCTGTTGCTTCAGAGGGTGCAAGACCTGAGCCTTGGCAGCTTGCACATGGTATTGAGCCTGTGGGTGTACAGAAGTCAAGAATCGAGGTTTGGGAACCTCCATTTAGATTTCAGAGGATGTCTAGACAAAAGTTTGCTGCAGAGGCACAGCCCTCCCGGAGAACCTCTGCTAGAGCAGTGCAGAGGGAAATGTGAGGTGCAGGCCCCTGCAGTCTCTACTGGGACACTGCCTAGTGGTGTTGTGAGAAAAATGGCACTATCCTCCAGACCTCAGATCCAGTGACAGCTTGCACCGTGCTCCTGGAAAAGCCACATTCAATGCCAGCTCATGAAAGCAGCTGGGAGCGGGGAGGTATTCTGCAAAGCCACAGGGTCAGTGCTGCCCAAGGTCATGGGAAACTACCTCTTGCATCAGCATGACCTGGATGTGAGACACGAAGTCAAAGGAGATGGTTTTGAAACTTTATGTTTTAATGACTACCCTATTGGATTTTGAACTGGCATGGAGCCTGTAGCTCCTTTGTTTTGGCCAATTACTCCAATTCAAAATTGTTGTGTTTATTCAGTGCCTGTACCCCCATTGTATCTAGGAAGTAACTACTTGCTTTTTATTTTACAGGCTCATAGATGGAAGGGACTTGCCTTGTCTCAGATGAGACTTTGGACTTGGACTTTTGGGCTAAAGCTGGAATGAATTAAGACTTTGGGGGAACTGTTAGAAAGGAATGATTGCATAGGATTTGAAAGGGGCCAGGGGTAGAATGATATGGTTTGGCTGTGTCCCCACCCAAATCTCACCCTGAATTATAGTTCCTATAATCCCCACATGTAGTGGGAGGGTCCTAGTGGCAGGTAATTGAATCATGGGGGTGATTACTCCCATGCTGTTCTCATGATAGTGAGTGAGTTCTTATGAGATCTAATGGTTTCATAAGGTGCTTTTCTTCCTTTGTGTGGTACTTCTTGTCAACCATGTGAAGAAGGATGTGTTTGCTTTCCCTTCTGCCACAGTTGAAAGTATCCTGAGGCTGCCCCAGCCCTGTGGAACAGTGGGTCAATTAAACTTCTTTCCTTTATAAATTACCTGGTTTTGGGCAGTTCTTTATAGCAGTGTAAGAATGAACTAATACAACCCCTCAGAATCTCATTTAGAACCTAATAGTTCCTACTTTAGATACAATTCAAATATAGTTTCTTCTCACTAGATCAAAACAGAAAGTTCACAAGGAGGGTATTCAGTGGGACAATTGCAGCAAGAAATAAAGACAGATGACAATTTATCAGCTTAGATGTTTCTGCTGCAGTCTTGTTCCTGAAACAGTTCCATTTGCAAGTTTCCATTTTTAATGCCTGATTTTCTGAAATGCCATTTAGTTTGTACGCTGAAGATGATTGTTCAATGTCTTCTCCATGACCCAGACCACCTTCCAATCCAATCATTTACTAGAGAGAACACCACAGGAAAAATATCAGAAGTGTGGCATTTTGACATGGGGACAACATAAGTGCATTAGCTTGAACATACATGTCTTCTTACCACTGGCTTATAGCACAGGATCTGAGCATAGTCACAAAATGCATAAAAGGATGTAAGCCATCGAGCAATCAACTTTCACTAACCAAAAACAGTGTGATTTACAGGAGGTACTTCATTATATATACACATGTAGCCCTGTTTAGTATAACACGCTTCAATCATATTTGCCACACTCTGGAGACTTTCATCTATGGCCGGGTCTATTTGTAATTGGTAATACCAGGTTTATAGTATTATAGACCTTTCATTAGCATCTTCTCCTGCACTCTCAACTACTGTTTACGAAAAGCAAAATTAAAAGATGGTGCCTGAAGCAGATTTGATGAAGGCTAGCAGATCACTTTATGTTATAATCATCAGATATTTATAACCCACCTCTAAGTATTCATAATCCATATCTACCTACTAATCAAATCGTCTGGCTTACTGTGCATCATCTGTCAGTTTTCCACATCTGAAGCCAAGCAAGGAGAGAGTGACTAATAAGATAAAATATGGTCAACTTAATTTTCTAACCATTTTTTCTTAATTGTCTTTCTTACAAAAAGTGTCTTGGAATTTAAGAAAATTAGTACCTTGTTTTCTTAGCCAGCCTATCTTCTAGAATTGCATCTGGAAATTTCTTGCCTGTGAGCACTGGATAACATTACGTTTAGCAACCAGGAGTTTGGAGTGATGCTGAAAAGAGGATAAATGAGGATGATGCATGCCAGATAACTAAGTGTAACCTAAAGGATGTCCCTGTTTCTTCCTGAGATGTGATTAAGTGTCCTTGGTGAAGAGCTCATATTGAATGAGGAAACTTTCACAGGGAAATCATTCAATACCTCCACAAATTAGATATAGTCAAGGACCCCTCATTTCACTTTTCACAGCCACAGGAACAATCAGCTCTACAGCAGTCATTTACAAAGTGGACTGTCAGACACAGCCATTTGTAAACACCGTTAAGAATAATGAATTTGTGGACAGGGGTCTCATCTCAGTTGTACCCCTCTCTATCACTTCAAGCAAATGGTCAGGCTGGAATGATGGGACTCAGTTGTAACAGGGCTTTAAAGTGGACCTGTGGGTGCCACTGGAAACAATGCTTTAATGTTACAAAGGAAGATTCATCTGGTTTAACTACAAATATAACTAATTCAAGACTTACTTTAACCATCTCCATTGAACTTCAAATAATGACTTGTAAAATAAAAAATAAATAAATAAAGCAAGTAAGATGCAATTCTGTGTGACTTACTCATGTTTACCAAGGAAATTTTCTTTTTTCTTTGGAAAATGTGGAGCTAAAACAAGGCAAATTTATCTTTCAGTAATTGAGGGCATGAGCATCTGTGTCTTGCAAGCTCAAGGATGCACATATTTGATTGAAGGATCAGCATTTGTTTCCATTTGAAGAACTTTTCCGAATGTGTAACAATTAACAGTTATTAAAAGTAATCACTATACTCCATATGAAAGAGTTGTCTTAATTTCTGAATCCCATGAAGTTCAATACTTGCATTTTGTCTTTCAAAAGCTTTAAAAATAGTTATCTGCAATTCCTGCTCCTATAGATATAATACTGAGGTGTGTTATTTCCTGGTAAAAGTTTTAGGAACAGGAATGATATTCTGGAATACAGCACTATTCCAGCATGGTAGGCTTTTGTTAGGAAACCACAGCAATTAAGAGGCAGCTTAGCATAGAGGAGTAGTTGGTGTCTCAATGGTGAAATGCTGCTAAGAATCTATTAATTCTTTCCTGCTTAAGTGATTCCAATATATATTACCACACACCTATGCAAGATGTCTGAATGTGTGTGTGTGTGTGTGTGTGCGCGCGCACGTGTGCGGTGCATGCACGTGCAAGAAAGGGATAGGATAGAAGGCTTGAATCATTTGCAAAATCATTCTGTGCACGACTACATAGGTCTACCAACTTAAAACTCATTCTTTCCCACAGCTATTTATTTATGTAACATTTTCAACAAGTATCACTGCAACTTGTATCAACAAATTTTAGTATTTCCATGAGCCTCAAGAATGTCCTTTCCAGAAAGGGGCTTCAAGATGCCTGAGTAGAGGCATGTGATACTTGCTTCTTCCACAAAGTAGAACCAAGTTAGCAAGTAGGTAATCACACTCTGAATAGATTATCTAGGAAAGAACACTGGAATTCAACAGAGAAACAACAGAAAACACTTAAGGCCAATAAAGAGAGGGGAGTGAGGCAGCCTGCTCATCACAAGCTGGCTTGGATCCCAGAGAGGCTTCCCAATGCAGAAAATGGATAAGGAGGAGATACCCAGTGATCCATGTTTCCATCAGGGATTCTGCAGTCTTAGCCACTGGAGAGCCAGTTGACCTCCACAGGCCCTGAGACTAAGTGAGCTTCCTGGAGACTGTGAGACAGCATTGCTCATAGAGGAAGCTCACAGTAGGTCCACCACACACACCAAGTCCTAAGTCGTTATAGCACAGCACCATTTTGGGAGCCCAGCCTGCCTCAGATGGCATCTCGCCCTGGGGCCCAACAGCACCTGCATCTCCATATCCCTGAACTCCCAATGATATCCCCCACCCACAGCCACCACCACTGCTAGCTGCTGCCACCAAAGCTGAAGCATGAACTATTGGCAATGACCCACACCTTCAACAGAGGGGCTGCTGAGCATTTAGAAGCATCCTGAAGACAGACCCCCATACCCACAGCCAAAGTGTGTGGTCCCCAGCCACCAGCCTACAGCTGCTGCCACTGAAAGCAACCCTGCCCTCCCCAATAGCAAAGCCACAGTACAGTCACCGCCATCCCCACTGAGCACTCTGCTGAGGTGGCGGGGATCACCCTACCCCTGCCCACCACAACCAGTGCCCCCATGCACAGCTCTGGGTGCAGAGGGTGCCTGAGACAGGCCCACTCATTCCAATTTTACCTCTCCAGTGCCAAAGCATACAATTTGGCATCCTAGAGATTGCATTGCTCCATTCACCACTGGTTTATCCCTGAGCACTCCTGTCAGGGGCCAGAGGATGGGTCTATTTAAGCTGTCACTTCTCCCATAGCTGGCACCCACATCAAATCAAGTATATTTGACTAAGGAATCTGTATTTGCTTACACTTGAAGAACTTCCTCCTACCAAGGCACATACACCTCCCACTGAGACCTGGGAACTGGCCTGCCCAGCCCATTGCAGATACCATCAATATTAGCATAAACTGCTTGGGAGCCAGAGGGTTTTCCTTCCACTGCTACTGACATTGTTTCCCAGCAGCCGAGGATCCACCCAAACCCTAGCCATCGACTGCTATTGCCAACACCAGAACAGGCTGCCTGAAGGCCAGAGGTTTGGCCTTTCAGGACCCACTAACGTTGATGTCAGCATATGCTGCTTGAAGGCCCAAAGACAGGCATACTTAGCCCACTGCTTCCACCGCTGGGGTGCAAGAACTGGCCCATATGGCATCCCCATCCCAAATAAAACTTCACTACAGCCTCTATTAGCAACTATACTCTAAGCCACTAAGGAAAACACAGATACCACTAATACTATTTACAGCAAAATAAATTGTATGGAGACTACAGTACTCAGGTACTCAGAATCAAAGCCAAAGTGGCCTAAAGAAACAACACCATAGAGACATCTTCAGGGAAAAAAATGTAATATATGAAAGCAGAAACAAAAATTTGGAAGAAGTGGCTGTTATACCATATGTACAGATATCAAAGTAAGAGCACATAAAACATGAAAAGGCAGGGAATTACAACACCTCCCTAAAAACACAAATTCTTCAACAAGAGATGCTAATGAAAAGAAACGGGAAATTCCAGAAAAAAATTATAATAATTACATTAAAGAATCTCAGTGAGATACAAGAGAACACAGACAAACAATACAAAGAAATCAGAAAAACAATTCAAGATATAAATGAGAAATTTACCAGAGCTATGTAAAAGAACTAAACAGAAAAACTGGAATTGAAGAATTCATTCAATAAAATGAAAAGTTCATGTGAGAACCTCAACAGTAGACTAGACCAAGCAGAAGAAAAAATTTCAGAACTTGAAGATAGCTCTTTTCAAAAATGCAATCAGACAAAAATAAATAAAAAGTAATTAAAAATGAACAAAGCCTACATTACATATAGGACACCATAAAAAGACCAAATATTCACTATTTGGTGTCCTGGAAAGTGCAGAAAAAACCAAAAAGGATCAAAAAACCTATTTAACAAAATAATTGCTAAAATCTTCCCAAATCTATCAAGAAATTTAGACATCTAGATGTAGGAAAGCTCAGAGATCTCTAAATAGATACAATTCAAAAAATCTTCTCTATGGCCCATCATAGTCAACCAGTCAAAAGTCAAAGGCTAACGCAGAATTCCAAAAACAAGAGAAAAGCATCTAGCTATTACTGAGTGAACCCCCATCAAACTAACTTTTGATTTCTCAGAAAAAGCTTTATAGGTCCGCAGACAATGAGATGATATATTTAAAGTGCTGAAAGAAAAAGGAAACTGTCAATGAGGGGTACTATACCCAGCAAGGTTATTATTTATAAATTAAGGATAAATTAAGCATTTCCCCAACAAACAAAACCTGAAGAAATTCATCACAACTTGAGTGGTCCTATAAGAAGTGATTAAGAAAGTTCTACATCTGGAAGTGAAAAGAATAATGAGAGACCCAAGACCATTGTTCTTTATAATCTAATATCCCTCGCTATCTTAGAGGTTCTGACCTTGAGCTCTTCTGCATGTTAGGCTGTTTCCCTGAAGTGAGGGTCTATGAATGGACATCAGGGGACTGGTAAACACCCCAAATTCCCTGAAACCATGTATGCATGTGTGTGTGTGTGTGTGTGTGTGTGTGTGTGTGTGTGTGTGTACACATTTTCTTTGACAAGAAGGTCTTTAGCCTCCATCAGAATATCGGTTTAGATCTAACACTCACCCTTAAAAAGGTAAGGAAGACTGTGTATAGTAAGCATTCCTTCTATAGTCTGCACCCAGCTCCATAATACATTTATTCTTTCCATCCTTTCAAAGTCTGTAAAGAGATTGTAGGCAAAGCCCATCTTGATTTCTTTCCATCTTTTGTTTCTTCTCTTTACTTTCTCCTTCCCCTTGAAGCATCCTTGTCCTCTGAATTATGTCCAGGTACTTTCTCATGAAATTATTCTCTCAAAGGTATTAATAGCAGGATGTAATGATATTTTTTCTCTCACAACATTATTTTGTTCTA